TTCATTCCTTGCATCTTAGATCTATGGATTTGGATGGATGAAATGGTTCTCCAAGTTCCCAAAATTGAGAACCTCTAAGTCTCTTCACCAAGGTTATATTGGAGAAGAAATGAGTGACCTTGGAGTAGTAGGATTGCTAGCTAAACCCTCCAAGGAGGCCAGCCACTTTAGAGAGAAAGGAGAGCTTATGTTCTCATCCTTTCCCCAAAAGAAAACCCTAAATGAATTTTGGCTATAAAGTCATATTTATACCTTAATTCATTGGAGTGGCAAACTTGTAAATAAGTCCAAAACTCACTCCATCTCTAAATGGCCGGCCTTAGCGTATTATTGGGCAAATTGGGCCTTTGTGAATCATTATTCATTAAGTTGTCATACAACTTAAGTCAATGGGCTTGACGTTCGAAGCCCATTGGGCCTTAAGGTCCAAAACTATCCCGAGGTCTTTAACGAACTTATTCGTTTGATTAATTAACATATTAATTAATCCTTGCCATAAATAATTAAACCATTTAATTATTCTTACTCATCTCCATTGTTTCTTCAATCTCCACCTTACACGGTGTACGATCCATTAGGTTCCTTTTAGCGAGGCAGTGGGCGATTAAAACCATTTCAAATCGATTGTGAATTGAAACTTACTTTCAATTCTCCCTTTAGTGATTATACACGTTTAGGGCTTCCACAAACCATGAGTGACACCTAGCAGCATATCATGGTTACCCAAGCTAATCAGAAGAGGTGGAGAACCTATTCAGTTTAGGATTACAAATGCAATACGATCTTTCTCTAATACAATACTCTTGACCACATTGTTTGGTTTGATAGTTTATTCATGTATACTATCCAATGTGATTCGTGTGCTTATATGATTACCTTGAATGTGATTTGAAACGACTTCCTAAATCTCATTCATACTCTGGCCAGAGATTCTTAATCATATCATAGAGTATTCTCCCCCAAACGGTTTGAAGGTTAGAGATCCCTTGTTGCGCATTCACTTGCCTCCATGGCTAAGTGGCTTAACCCCGACGATGCCGTGGACACCCGCGGATGGGGTGACTTTGACATAATTAAAGATCAAGTACCTAACCACAAGACAACTATGATGCCTCAGGTCAAATGACTACTTTGCATTATCCCAACCATGAGTTCTCATGTGACATGAATATGAGAACTCTTCATTGATCGTGTTCAGTGAACTCATTCTTTATTAAGCACCTACGTACTTGTCTTGATGTCACACACACCAATGACTCGAGACTAGTCACTCTCCCTGAGAGAAGACACATCACGTACTGATCTTAACGGATTGTCAATGCCCAATTGGCAATCCTATGATCAGGAACGTTTAGGATGTGTCTACGAAAGAATGGTCTCATGAATCTAACTTCTTTAGATCGCATTCTCCCAATCACATATTCCTTGGACTTATCGTTTAAGCGTATAATATTTATATGAGACGGCTCAACAATAATCTTTGCCCTTAATATTAAACTAGATTAGTTTAACATGTTAAATGTCCGTAAAGTATCATCATATGATTGGTTTTAGGGCACATTTCCAACAGAAAAAAATAAAGAGAACCGACATAGCTTTTCGTGTTGATTTCCACAGACGACGACAAATGTTAATGCACAAAACCGGAGGTCTTGGAACAACGTAAATCCAACCGTGAATCTGCATGAAATGTAAATAACACAAGATGTATCGTGGTTCACCCCAAGGTTTGGGCTACGTCCACACTAATTATGTATTTATCTGAGGGAGAGAGAGCTTTGAGAGGGGATGAGAGGGCCTAGGAATTGGCCTCCCCTAATTGTGAGGGTGAGGGGTCCTTTTATAGAATAAGGCCTCCTTACTTATTACATATTTGCCCCTTCCTTTATCACATAATTACATTCAAGTCCCCCGAGTATTTATACGAGATCTTAAAACGAGGCTCTAAATATGGTATAAACAATTTCTTTTTTTCAATTTTAATCAAAGGGTGAATTAGGAATTTTAAGAAAATATTTTTTGTATTGGGTGTAGAAAGAGGTTGAATGGGTTCCAATAAAATTTCCCTAAAAAGAATGGCATAACCTCCCTTAAAATCGGCATACCCCAAACTCCACCCCTCACCCTATACCCAACCCCAAACCCAAAATTAACTCCAAAAACACATATTAATGAGAAATAAATTAAAATTTAGAGAGAAAATACCTTTTGGCAGGATTGAGAGTGATTGAGAGATAGGGAGAGAGGAGAGAGAGTGAGAGAGTAAGAGATAGAGACAGAGAGAGAGAGAGAGAGAGAGAGAGATGAGAGATTGAGTGTGAGAGGGGGTCGGATTTGGGGAGAGGGTAAGAGACGAAAGGTAAGAAAACTAGAGAGATAAATTGAAAAAATTATGGATGAGTTATTTTGGTTTTAAAAACCGTATCACTTTGTGCTACGAAGGATACGATTTTGCATGAAAAAAGATTGGTCGTGCAAAGTCTTAAAAAAATATTTTTTAAAAAAAATCATGTCTTCCATTTTAGGCACCCACCCAAATTTTTAGGGTTTTGCACAACGAAATATTGGTCGCGTAAAGTTTTGCGCAACGAACAAATTTTTCATTGCACAAAGTTTTTAAAAAATTGAAAAATTAAATTTCTCGCTTCCATTTTCAGCACCTGCCCAAATAGAAATAAATTTTATTAGACAATTTAAAATATAAAATAAAATAAACAGGGCTTATGCGACGAAATATTAGTATTCGTCGCGCAAAGTTTTTAAAAAATAATAAAAAAGAAAATAATTTTATTGTACAATTTAAAATATAAATAAATAGGATTTAGGCGACGAAATGTTGATCCGTCGTGCAAAGAAAATGATAAAAAATAAAGAAAATATTTTAGGTTGACAATATAAAATATAAAATAAAATAAATATTAAATAAATAAGGTTTAGGCGACAAAACATTAATAATTTATTTTACAATTTAAAATATAAAATTAAAGAAAAAGGAAATAAATTGGGTTTAGGCGACGAAATCTAAAGATTTCGTCGCGCAAAGTTTTTAAAAAATAAATTTTTTTTATTTTATTTATTTTTGTAAAGACTTTGCGCAACGAATTTTAAAGTTTCACCAAGCAAAGTGACTTTGGGTGATGAATTGTGTTTCGTCGCGCAAAATTTCATCACACAAGATTTTGCGCAACGAAGTTTCAAATTTCATCGCTCAAAATCACTTTGCACAATGATGTGTGTTTTGTCACACAAGGAGTTCGTTTTTTTACTAGTGTAGGTATAGACAATTAATAATTGATCAATGAGATGTTAAAGGACATATATATATATATATATATATATATATATATATATATATATATATATATATTTTTTTTTTTTTTTTTTTTTTTTTTTTTTCCAACAGTAGCTATATATAGTAACTAGTTAGTTGCCATTCATGGAAGAAGTTGGGGTTCTACTAGAAAATCAATTGACAATGTAGAGAATAGCTCAATTACTTATACACACATGTAATGTCACTTGTTTCTCCGATATTGGATTCATAGTACCCTCAATATTCCTTCTTGGCTAATATATTTTCCACACAGGAAGTTGAAGCTGAAAATAGATGGGTTCTTTATGCCAAATAATTAGTTCTTTTTTCTTCCCGAAAAGTAACAGAACCCCTAATATGGCACAAACAACAAAACAAACAGCGATAAACTTATATCAATCTAAAGCAATTAAATCCTGAAAGAACAAACCTGCTTTGATATTAAGTTGAAAATGAGAGAAAGTTTTTGTCAAAAACCATACGAACAAATGAATTATAAAAACTAATAATATTACTCAATTAATCGAAACAAACGAGAACACTACAAATTTGTCAAAGATGACATAATCTGTAGGAATACATTGTTTGGAAGAAGAAAAATAAAGGATTTTATGAGCATTAAACGAATTCTCAGATTTGAATCATGAATTGATAAAACGACACACTAATTACCACACCAAAATATCTTGTAGCTAGTTTTGTATCTAATTTTAATTTTCAAGGAAGGATGGAGAAAGTAGAGGCGAAGACTTAGACTTCCTTTTCTTGGGTCAAGTACTGTTAATTCTCTCCTACTGTTGGAAAATTCCTTACATACATACATCGGTCTAATATCACTGGTCTACCAACTACCACTGTTTCTTAACGTACAAGCTTGGAATACACGTTCAAGCAAGATTCCAGATCAACAATCTAATTTCCCCACTATGATCCAATCGGCCGTATACGGCATAAGAGAGAACGAGGTCGAACCAACTCTGGATTGGTGGCGAGAAGCCCTCCTATACTCCCATCTCTATCAACACATGAGGAAAGATATGGGTCTCGAGTTTGTATCATGCACCATTGCTCCAAGTCTCAGAAACCTTCGGTCAAAGTCAAGTCGACTGAACTGACACGCACTACAAGTCATTTGTCAACTTTCACTTTCAATAGTTTCTTCTGGGAAATTCAACCATGCCATAGTAACAGACGGAGTCAATGAAGGCTCACTGGGGGCAAATGTCCCCACTCAAGTAATTCGTTTGTTTAATTGTAAACTACAATTATATAATATACACGGATTATCTTTGAAAAAAATATATGTATCTAATATCAAACATACATTCATCCTACTTATACTCCATATCAAATATTATATGAGCAATAGTGCTCTTATTCTGTCATTCAAACCAAAAAACTCATCTCCCGTGTATCATGTACTTATGTTTTTATCATCACTTTGCCACTTTCCACTATTATATTGAAATTTTTGTAACATTGGAATTGTGATATATCATCATTTGAAACCATCCTTAATATCATATTGCATATAATCATACTATAATACGGTTTTCTTAATTGTTTTCGGTTGCCCCCACTAGAATAAATTTCTGGCTCCGTCCCTGAGATCCACTACGACAGTGGTGACTATGGTTATAAATTGGATTCTGCTAAAGCTCCAAGACAAACAACCACCATTGTTTAAATTTGCGAGTTAAGGTTCGCACAAAACAGTATCACCATGGGCCTTTACAACTCCATTTCTGCTCTTGTTTTCTCATCCTTTTGTATGCATGCTCTCATTCTTCACTACTCTTGCTCACCTTCTTTCGCCCTCCCCGGAAATGAGACAGATAAACTGGCCTTGCTTGAAGTCAAGGCTAGCATAACTCATGACCCTCTTGGAGTTTTAGCTTCATGGAACGAAACCAACCATTTTTGTTATTGGCGTGGTGTCTCGTGTAGTCGTCGTCACAAAAGAGTAACAAGTTTGGACCTCGAGTCCTCGAAACTTGCAGGCTCTATAACACCCCATGTTGGAAACTTGAGTTTCTTGAGAGAACTGTATCTCTCAAATAACAGCTTCAACCATCAAATTCCTCCACAAATCAGCCGTCTACACAGATTGCAAGATTTATGGCTGGAGAATAATTCACTCAGCGGTCAAATTCCAACCAACTTATCACTCTGCTCTCAACTCCGGACAATCCGTCTAGGTCACAATTTGCTGGTGGGAAAAATTCCTGAGAAGCTCGGCAGTTTGTCAAAGCTAAGACTAATCTCAATTCACGAGAACAACCTTACAGGAACTGTTCCTCATTCTTTTGCCAACTTATCGTCACTCGAAATAGTTTCTGCATGTTGTAATAGTTTGAGTGGAAGTATTCCTGATATTTTTGGCAAACTGACCAATTTCAGAACTCTTGCATTGGATGAAAATAGGTTGTCTGGTACTCTTCCTCCATCAATCTTCAATAAATCTTCTGTCAGAGTCATTAGTATCACAGTTAGCAACCGCAAAGGTAGCGGCCTCCAAGGGACCTTGCCTGTAAACTTAGGTATTGCCTTACCAAATCTTGAATACTTTGATATTGACGGTAACCAATTTAGTGGACCAATTCCCGTTTCATTGTCTAATGCCTCTAATCTGTATCACATTGGAATGTCATTAAACCAACTACATGGAAAGGTCCCTTCTTTGGGAAATTTACACAGGCTTGTGCGATTACTTCTTTATTTCAACACTCTTGGAAGTGGGGCACGTGATGACTTGAGCTTTCTATGTGATTTGACAAATGCCACACGTTTGCAAGTCCTGAAGCTTGGCAGAAATAATTTTGGGGGCATGTTACCTCAATGCATAGCTAACCTGTCTTCTTCACTTATATACTTCTCTGTATCCGAAAATCAGATATCTGGAAGTATTCCAATGGGGATCGGGAATCTGGTTAACCTAGAGAGCCTATGGCTGTCTGAGAACCAGCTTTCAGGTCACATCCCCCGCAATATAGGAAGCCTTCAGAAACTATATTTGATAAATATGGGTACAAACTCTCTTTCTGGGAAAATTCCATCATCTTTTGGAAATTTAAGTGGATTAACTGAGTTACATTTAAATGACAACATCCTTCATGGAAATGTCCCTTCAAGTTTAGTTGAGTGTCCCAATTTGATCATATTATCTCTTTGGTCTAATAACTTCAGTGGTAGTGTATTCGAAGTCATTCATATTTCCTCTTGGTTTACTTTTTTTGATTTATCTCAAAATCAGTTCACTGGTTCCCCTCCCAAACAAGTAGGAAACTTAATAAATTTGTGGTACTTTGATATTTCTTACAACATGTTATTTGGTGAAATTCCGGCAAGTTTTGGGAGTTGTATAAAGATAGAGTATCTAAGCATGGAAGGGAACCTCTTACGAGGGAACATTCCGCCCTCTTGGGGTTCACTGAAAGGAATTGAAGAATTATATCTCTCTCACAACAATTTGTCAGGCACAATTCCAGAATTCTTGGAACGCTTTCAGTTTTTGCAGTCACTAGATCTATCATATAACAACTTGGAGGGTGTGGTACCAACAAAAGGAGTTTTCAAGAATGCATCTGCGACAACACTGGTAGGAAATACTAAACTTTGTGGAGGAATACCTGAGTTTCATTTGCCAAAATGCAAATTTCAACATTCCCATAAGAGACGATTGAGCCTAACCTTGAAGCTGGTTATCTCTCTCGTTTGTGGGCTTCTTGGACTCATTTTTGCACTATGTTTCCTGTACCTTTATTGCTCAAAGAAGGAAAGAAAAGAGCATGCTTCAAGTGATTCAGAAAAATTTCTCAAGGTGTCGTACCGAAGTCTTTTAAAAGCTACCAATGGATTCTCCTCCACCAACTTGATTGGTATGGGCAGTTTTGGGTCTGTTTATAAAGGAGTACTTGACCAAGGTGAAACCATGATTGCCGTCAAGGTACTCAACCTCGTTCATCATGGAGCTTCCAAAAGTTTCGCTGCTGAGTGTGAGGCCTTGAAAAATATTAGACACCGTAATCTTTTAAAGGTACTCTCAGCATGTTCAGGTGTCGATTATAGTGGAAACGATTTCAAGGCCTTAGTTTATGAGTTCATGGCTAATGGGAGCTTGGAAGAATGGTTGCATCCAACTCAAAAAATTGATGAGACAGATGAGAGGCTGAGAAGCTTAACGTTTTGTCAAAGGTTGAACATTGCTATTGACATTGCTATGGCATTGGATTATCTCCATCATCACTGCCAGACGTCAATAGTTCATTGCGACCTCAAACCCAGTAATGTGCTTCTCGATGAAGATATGACTGGACATGTAGGTGACTTTGGGTTGGTAAAATTCCTTCCCCAAATTTCTGAAAATGATTCCAGTCACCAATCAAGCTCTGCCGGAGTAAAAGGAACAATTGGTTATACTCCTCCAGGTGAATGTGCTTTCTTTCATCGTTAATTTCTTGATTTTTCTTTCTTAATATTTATTTTGATTGTCTCAAACATGACATAAGACCTTTTTGAGCACTTAAAAAATTAGAAATTTTTTTTTTTTTTTCAATTGTGCAAATGCAGAGTACGGTGTGGGACATGAAGTCTGGAGGCAAGGTGATGTGTACAGTTATGGTGTCCTCTTGTTGGAAATGTTCACTGGAAAAAGACCAACTGATAACATGTTTCAGGGAACGTCAAACCTTCGTAACTTTGTCAAGGCAGCTATGCCTAAAGTTGTAGAGATTGTCGATCCTCTTCTTGTTCTAGAAAGCTTCGAAGGGGATATGAGCGTAAACAATCGCTTGGATCAAGATAGACAAACCAATCGTAACAAAATTGAAGAAAGCTGCTTGGTTTCAATTTTAGAAATTGGTGTTGCTTGTTCTGCCCAGTTGCCTAGAGAACGGATGGATATTTCTGATGTTGTGGCCGAGCTGTGTCGTATAAGAAACAAATTTTGAGTTAATAGAATATGTCAATTGACCATGTAAGTACTGCTTCCTTGTATATCTAGTTCGATTTTACATTATTAGCTAGAATTCCAAGCTAATAGAATATGTTTCTGTTGTTGTTGTTGTTGTTCGCAGGCAAGTGCATCACCCGTTGATGGATGATCTCCTCTATGAAATCGTGTTCTATAGTAGTCCATATATGCACTTATGTTCTAATAATCTCTCAGTCATTTCTATTTCACTTAAAAATTTACTTACCACATTCGCTCTTTTTTGTTCAAGAAACCTCGATGGTATGAAGGAAAAAATAAAAAGGTTAAGCCTATTCCACCTTCATTATTTCAAAATTTGTACTTAAGCAACTCATTTATCATGTCTGATTTGAATAATTATGTGAGACAAAAGATCTCTTGCTACTTTCTGGTTGTGGGCGCATCGCACTTATCTTCTTACAAGACAAAGTTCTACACTTACATCCCAAGTTCATAGTTCATTTGCAGCTGAGTTGGTCTGTGTGTATACATTCCCACGCTGGAGGTGATGTGTGTGGTCCAGTTCGGTTCCGTCAGTTTTTCGATTTAAAATTCCAACCCTAGGTTGATGAAAACTCAACTATGATGGTTACAGTAGTTAACTGAGGAATGAATGTCCTATTCATTTGAGGTATCAATTGCCAATTCATCACCAACTATCAATGGCCTATCCATCACCAATTAGTGGATGGACATAAATGTCTAGTAACACTCCCCCTTTTACGAATTTCTCAGTTGGGTAATCACAAGAACTCCATGTATGCTCTTTATAGGGATGATCCAGAAAACCTAAGTAGGGATAAAAACCGATAGTCGGCGTGAGAGAAACTTTGTACTCCTAGGGATTTCTCCCCCTAGAACAACAAACTCTTTAGGAGGACTTCCTTGATTTCAGGCATGTCTTAAGTGACGTATGGTCGTTACTGCCGGGTCAGAAGACCAAAACTAGTGCCTCATTAAAAACCTTTCTAGGCAAAACCTAGTGGGATAAAAACTTAGAAAAAGGAAAAAGGAGTAGTGTAGACATGTAAATTATGTTCACCAACGGATTAAATATCGACACAACAGGGCTTACATGGCCATATGGCATGCACCATGTGTCTCACAAATTGTACACATAGCATGTGACTTATCAAAACCAGACGAGTTGTCAAGAGGACACATGTTAACTTCTGGCAGAAAGGGATTTTGTATTTTAATTTAAATTAAACAAATTAATCAATTTAAACGATTGATTTATTTGATTTATATTAATTTAAATCAAATATTAATTTATGAAGTCAAATCAGGAATCAAGACACAAATCAAGTCTTGGTTATTTCATCAATTAATAAGCCCATGGTCAAGGCCAAATTTATCCTTAGGCAAGGCTTTGAAAGTCTATAAATATAAGGCTCCAAGACAAAGGAAACCGCCCATAAAATCATTCACGCCCAAGACGCTAAAAATCTAAAACTCTGAAGCTCTCAGGCATCCAAATTCTCCAAATTCCCAAACCCTTAGAAGAATTCAGAAAGTTCTCTACGTTCTTCATCAAACCTTTGAAGAATCATCAAGCACTACTACCCGTGCCGGTTTTTCCATTGCCGCAAGCCAAATCCTTACGACAAGTGTTCATCTGAGGTCAAGTCATCCAGACCCTCGGATCAACAACACGCATCTACACCTCTTTGGAGATAGAATCATAGGAAACTTTGTAAAAACAGATTGTGACCCTAAACTCATTAATACGATACAATTATTATGTACACGCGTTATCTCATTATTTGCTATAGATTTTTGTGTTTACCAATTTGGCACACCCAGTGGGACAATCTCTACCTCTCATCTCTTTCTCCGTTCAACAAAAAAACACTTAGAAATTGATGGCTTCCAAGAAAGGGCAAGTTGCTTTCGCGACTAAGGGAAGGAGCATCAGCATTTTTGCTGCAAGTGGAGAATCTGTGGGTGCCATGACTCGAAGCAAGGTAGAGGTAGTCGCCACGCTTCAACATGCCACTTCAAAGTTGATGCGGCTAAGGGAGCAAAGAGAGCATCAGAGGAGCGAGTCTGTCATTAGTCTGCCCTCATTGAGCACACTGAAGCATGTTACTGGGGCACGCACGAGGACACATGAAGTGGCAAGCAAGGTTCATTCGTGTCAAAAAGTTCATAGGAGAGCTCTTTATCATTAGCTTTAGACACGAACTCAAGTGCATAAACCTACCATAGATTGCCAACTAGCAACCGCCACACTGGGACTTCGCCAACACCCTTGATGTTTGTAGGAGAGTCACATCTTTTGGTTGCACAGGTTATGACCACCAACACCACCTCCATTAAGAATAGCTAGCTCAGATGAATGAGGCGATCGCAAGGTTGACCAAAACTATCGAATAAAATGACCTACGTATTGCCATGCTCATGGATAGGTTGGAGGCACAACATGATAAAAGAGTCAGTCCCAACCCCAAGAAGATGCCCAGGAGTCTGGCAAGAAAGATGAGTGTCAGGTAGACAAGGCCAGAGAATAACAGAAGCCAGAGACTAAAGCTACATCAATGGGCTTTATTTCCATCCAGCAACTCCAGGACATAATTGCAAACACCATCTGAGCATAGGTGGAAGGTACTTCAGGGGATACACTGTTGTATCCGAAGACATTCACCAGGCCAATTGATGGATTGCGGATGCTGATAGGGTACTAGCCGCCTAAGTTCATGCAGTTCGATGGAAAGGGGAACCCAAAGCAGCACGTTGCCCATTTCGTCGAGACTTGCAACAACACGGAGATGGAAGAAGACTACCTCGTGAAGTAGTTTGTCCACTCTCTAAAGGGGAAAGTGTTCGATTGGTAAACAAACCTAGAGCCCGAGTCCATTAACAGCTGGGGTCAAATGGAGTGGGAATTCTTGAACTATTTCTACAGTACTTGTCACACCATCAGTATGATAGAGCTCACAAGTACAAAGCAATGGAAGGACGAGCCAGTCATCAACTACATCAACCGATGGCGCACTCTAGTTCCCTTCCCAACGATGTTCAAAAATTAATAAATCTCGAGTCACTACAAAAAAAAATGGCCTTTGGATACAAAATTAAGGACACAAATGAGGGATTTGTGTCTATTTCCACAAAAAAAAATTAAAACAGTGCCCATTCAATAAAGGACACTACATATTGTGCCCGATATCAAGAAAAATGGGCACAAACACATTTTCTGACAACTTGGATAAAAAAAAGTGGACTCAAATATATTATTGTGCCTGTATTTGACGTCTAAGGATACAATTACTTTTTCTTTATTATTTTTCATAAACTTATGGCCCCACACCCCACTTTCTCTCTTTCCCCTTAACCCCCCCCCCCCCCACACCCCCTCTTTCCCTCTCATCTCTCTTTCCCTTCTTTCTCATCTCTCTCTGCCTCCCTCGGACTCTCCAACCCGCATTCTCTAACTCTACTTCTCCTCAGGGCATTTGGTAAGTGATTCACCTTTTTTTCCCCACTAATTATTTGGTTTTAGAGATGCATTTCAACATTTATATCTAATCTTACCACTGAGATACAAGTCTAGACTTACGTTAGGTCCTTCGCACATAACTTAAATTATTAGTATTTAATTACTTTTACTTGGCTCATGGATTACTTTTGCTGGTTTTATAGGATTGTGACCAATGATTGTTTCAAAGCTTAATGTCAAGCATTACATCAGAAATCAGGATATACACAAAAGGAAATGTTAGTCTTTGAATCAAAGATATTTTGATCATATAGTTATGTATAATGAGGAACAAAAATAAGAATGGAAAACTAACCAAACACCCAAAAAACTTTCTTTTTAATCATCAGGACAAAATTTAGCAAAAATGCCAATCATGCCCTTCACACATGCATACAAGATTGCTCAGCAATGAAGGTGACACTTTCAGAAAAAATTTGCATGGCAAAGTTAAGGTGGCAAACATTGCAACAACCAAGACAATATGGATTCACGTGGCTTTCAGCAGTTTTCAGAAACAGTGCTGACAGCTTTCAGAAACAGTGTGTTGTCACTATTCAAAAAATTGTAAATATTGAAAGTTATTTGTTTTTTTTTAGGAATCAGCTTTTGTATATAAGGGAGCTTTTCCTCCCTTGCAGAAGACACCTTTAGCTCAACACAACCACTCAACACCTGAACACCCCACTCTCATACTCACACCATCTTCATACTTTCAAGCATCCTTAGTCTTCATAGCATCCTTGTAAACACTTCCTTGTAAACACTTTCTTGTAAACAACTATCTTTGTAAACTTTCCATATATCAATAAAAGTACAAGTGTACATATTCAAGTAATCTCCAAGTCTTAAGTAAGTTTTCTTTTCTTTCTTTAGTGTGTTTGTTTAATTAGACTTCTAGTCCAAAACAGGGAAACACAATTGTAGTTATATTATTAACCTGCTAAACTGGCGATCATACTTTGTTCAAACACTTTGTTATAGTTAAATGCTTGCCATACAAATAATTGAACATTAACCAGGGTACCTTTGAGTTCTTCGTACCTCTAAGTTTAGCCGTTAAGGCCTTATACTTGTACTGTGAATGGTCGTCATGCTGAAACATGTCGAGTTCCATGTGCAAGGTTTTATGTCTAGTTGTTATAATGGTCATCCGACTATTTAACCGAGCCTGCGTTGCGAATTTGGTATCAGAGCCTAGTTTAGCATTTTAATAGTATAATTATAATAGTAAAGTACCTTGATAGTAAAGTACCTTGAGGATAGAAGTCATTGATACAACTGATATCATATTTGTTTATTGTGTATGAACAACAGATATTATTGTCCATGTAGACCCTGTCAACCACAATTACCAGGTATTTATTGTCCCAGACATCCAACTATAACTAGCATAAAGAGAAGATTAGCATATATATCCAAAAGAATTATCATTACTTTGAAGAAGCAAAAGTTTTATCTTGGTTATCTTGAACATCCTTCATTTATTAGTAAAT